AGTACACACTGGTACATTTGATCTCCAGTGGTTGATTGACTAATTGATCCATTACTGACAGTCATTCCATTCCATGTGATAGCAACGGTATATCTTATTGTGTTGGTACTACTAACTAATGCAGTACCAGAACAATAATTATTGAATCTATCATCACAATTAGCATAATTAACCAATGCAATACTATTGATGCTCATTCTAATACCATACAAATAGAATCCAATTTTAACACAATTCAGTTTGTATTCCTGAGGATATACTGTCATATCAGAAGGAAAATCAGCAACAGTAAATGATTCTATCTCTGCAAATCCTACAAATGAAAATTATTAAATTAGTAAGTGATAATAGTCTCCTCTTACTGAATATATTAGCAAAGATGATGTTAGTGTTAGGATCTGAACAATCAGTGGGTAGACAACACTTGTACCAGCCTTCTTGCTCTGCTGATAGTCCCTGAGCAAGATAAAGATTGAGAGTAGCATTAGGTGAAGTGACAGAAGTACAATGAAAAGGATCACAGTCACTATTACTGTTACAGTCAACAGGATGATCAGGATCATCAACTCTAACCCACTGACCAGTAGTTAGACTAGTACCAGGTAACACACATGATATAGCTTCAGTAACTGCATTGACACTACTATCCCAAAAATAGGATTTATTGGAATAACAGATTTCATTATATTGTAAATATATACCTAAAAAATACTTCAATTTATATTAAAACCAAAATACATGTACCTTCTTCATGACATTGAATGAATACACTGATTGCACTACTAGCAGGTCCCAGTAATTCTTTATAAGCTCTGACTGTGATGCTATAAGTTGTCCCTCCTCTGAGTCCATTCAGTGTGACTGTATTAATACTATTTCCCTCCACCTGTACTGTCTGCACAGTGTCTGAGTCAGTGACATTGACTACATATCCATCAGCATCAGATGAATCAAGTGTGGTCCAACTGACAGTGATAGTGGTAGCTGTCTTGTTGACCACAGTAAGAGAAGAGGGAGCAGTGGCCGGAACTATATGTGATATGAAGGATTCATAGTTATGAATGTGATAGATGGTTACCTTTGACTGTAATGTAACGATATCTTGTAACAAGACCAACTTCTAAATGAAATATATATACATGATTATGGTAGTTATTTGATACCCCACTAGTAATATTCTCTTCATTCCAAGTAAGAGTAAGAGTATAATCATATCTCCCATTGCCGTAATTTACTTTCATTCCATTGCCCCTACTACAACTGTACTCATCATTATATCCTCTGCAGAGTTTAGTACTAGTACCACTAGACTCATTATAGTACCAATCAGCATAATTTGTATTGAGTTGGTTTTGATGGCCAATTTTAATGGCATGTAGTGTATATGTTTGAGGTAGAACTGTAACATCTGAAGGAAGGTCAACTGTAGTATCTTCAATTTGTCCCCATCCTGCATGAAGAGCATATTTTGTACTGGTATTAACAATGAAAAAACACTTACTAAATATATTAGCAAAAATGATGTTAGTGCTTGGATTTGAACAACTAGTAGGTAGACAACACTTATACCACCCATCATCAGATGATGATATACCTTGGCCAGTAGGTATGTAAAGACTGATTGTTGCATTAGGTGCAGATACAACATCACAACGAAGAGGATCAGTACTGCAACATACAGATGAGCCATCAGGAGTAACCCATTCTCCACCATTTAGAGTAAAACCAGGTAATGTACATTTGAGTTGTTCTGGTCTAATGTCATCATCATAAAAATATGATCCATTAGGATAGCAATCTCCATTATACATCAGGTAGATACCTATTAAATAAAAAACTATACAGTTGTTATTATACACATAAGTGTCTGACCTGAGGAAGGTGGACATTTACTAGTAACTTCCCTGACACTCAAGAAGAAGGCAACCACTACCAGCAAGGACATTTCTCTGCTATAGCATGCAAAAGTAAAAACAAGTGCCCTTATATAAACAGCAAAACAATCATGCATGAACAACACGACTATATCTATGCAAAGCGTGGGCAAAGCCAATAATTTATGGTTTAAATCCTTATAGAGAGTTTTACTTTGGGTTGTAAAAACACAAAACTTTTTATGTATATGCTACAAAAATAACCGGCCTATTCCTTATGATAGATGATGTTTTGATGACAAAAATTTTTAAAGCTAAAAAGAAAGGGAATAATTATATGCTCTGCTTGATCATCCACATCAATTAAAACTGCAGATTGGGTATTATTAATATTATTATCATTATTATAATTGTTATTATTTGTGTATTAATAAAATGATATATTTACATCAAATTTAATTAGTTAGAAAGGATCTACATGTGAATTATCAAAAGTAGATAATAATTAGAGGAGAGTGTCCTACTGGCTATAAAGTCTGCTTCATCACTTTGTAGAATTGAGGAGTCACATTCCGGTTATTTCC